AGACATACCCTGTTGCCTCTTGGGGTTGACTTGTGCTTGGCTGGCCATGATGTCGAAATCTGATTGAAAGTTGCAGTTGCAAAGCCGGAGTTGCGATGCGGGGAGTTTCGATATGGATCGGCGGTGCTTGCGGCGTCGCTCTGTTGCAACTAGTATGTCTGCGTCGCTAACGAACAAACCACGAGTAATGCAGGAATAAGATATAAACAGTACAATTGACTACAACTAACTATCTAACTAACTAACTACCAGAGCTTTATTTCATGATTTAATGCTATCTACACCATCTTCTGCCTGTTCTTGGGAGGGGATGTTACACGTGACGAAGCGGGCGGCGATGTTTGCAGTGTTTGTCGCAACTCCGATAGAAACGATGGAAATCCGCAATTCGCGGTGATTGCATCTTCTCCAACTATCGGCGGGAGGGCTTGAGCAGACAGCTGTAGCCCTCTGCGAAGCTTTAGCTCAACAATTGTTCTACCAAGCGATCGTATTTCTCGATCATCAATCACACGCCATCATGGCTTCCAATGACCAGCCGCCAGCCAAAAGGCTGAAGAGCTCCAATCTCCCGCCACAGCTGCGCGACGCAAAGCGCAAGGATATCGACAACTGGGAAACGAACCGCATGCTCACCTCTGGTGTCGCCCAGAGACGCGATTTCGATGGCGACTTCATGCCCGAGGATGAAGAAGGCACCCGAGTTCATTTGCTGGTCCATGACCTCCGTCCGCCCTTCCTCGATGGCCGCACGATCTTCACCAAACAGCTCGAGCCTATCTCAGCTGTCCGAGACCCGCAGAGTGACATGGCTGTGTTCAGTCGGAAAGGGAGCAAAGTGGTTCGCGAACGACGTCAGCAGCGAGAACGCCAGAAGCAAGCGCAGGAGGCGACAACGATGGCGGGAACAGCGCTGGGAAACCTCATGGGTGTAAAGGAGGATGAGGGCGACAGTGCGGTCGCTATGCCAGTGGAGGATGCCTACAAGAGCGGAAACAAGTTCGCCCAACATTTGAAAAAGGATGAAGGTGGACAGAGTTCGTTCAGCAAGAGCAAGACGCTTCGGGAGCAGAGGGAATTCCTGCCGGCGTTCGCGGTCCGAGAGGATTTGTTGCGCGTCATTCGGGATAACCAGGTCGTGGTCGTGGTTGGTGAGACGGGGTCTGGAAAAACAACGCAGCTGACACAGTTCCTGCACGAGGACGGTTATTCGAAGTTTGGCATGATCGGGTGTACGCAACCTCGTCGAGTAGCAGCTATGAGTGTTGCTAAGCGTGTCAGTGAGGAAATGGAGGTGGATCTTGGTGATGAAGTTGGGTATGCTATTCGTTTTGAAGATTGCACAGGCCCGAAGACGGTCATCAAGTATATGACCGATGGTGTTCTTCTACGAGAGTCACTTGTCCAGCAGGACCTCGACAAGTATTCTTGTATCATCATGGACGAAGCGCACGAGAGAGCATTGAACACAGATGTGCTCATGGGTCTTCTCAAGAAAGTCCTAGCTCGACGCAGGGACTTGAAGCTTATTGTCACATCGGCCACCATGAACGCAGAACGCTTCTCCAGATTCTACGGTGGCGCACCGGAGTTCATCATCCCCGGAAGAACTTTCCCTGTCGATACCCATTTCTCACGCACGCCCTGCGAGGACTATGTTGACAGCGCGGTCAAGCAGGTCTTGGCCATCCACGTTTCGCAAGGTCCTGGTGATATTCTTGTGTTCATGACAGGGCAGGAAGATATTGAAGCAACATGCGAGCTGGTTGATGAGCGCTTAAAGCTACTGAACGATCCGCCGAAGTTGAGCATTCTGCCAATCTACAGTCAGATGCCTGCCGAGCAACAGGCCAAAATCTTCGAACGGGCAGAGCCTGGCGTGCGGAAAGTCATTGTTGCCACCAACATTGCCGAAACCAGTCTGACAGTTGACGGTATCATGTTCGTCGTGGATTCGGGCTACTCCAAGCTGAAGGTGTACAACCCCAAGATGGGCATGGACACTCTGCAGATCACGCCTATATCACAGGCCAATGCCAACCAGCGTTCTGGCCGAGCAGGACGTACGGGACCGGGCAAGGCGTATCGCCTGTATACCGAAGTGGCGTACAAGAACGAGCTATACCTGCAAACGATTCCGGAAATCCAGCGGACCAGTCTTTCCAACACCGTCCTTCTCCTCAAATCTCTTGGCGTCAAAGACCTTCTCGACTTCGACTTTATGGACCCCCCTCCCCAAGAAACAATTACCACATCCCTCTTCGAACTCTGGTCCCTAGGAGCCCTCGACAACCTCGGTGACCTCACCCCACTAGGACGTCAGATGACACCATTTCCAATGGATCCCCCGCTCGCAAAGCTCATCATCACTGCCGCAGAGACCTACGGCTGCAGCGAGGAGATGCTAACCATCGTATCCATGCTATCCGTCCCCAGCGTCTTCTACCGCCCCAAAGAGCGCCAAGAAGAATCCGACGCTGCGCGCGAGAAATTCTTCGTCCCGGAATCCGACCACCTCACCCTCCTCCACGTCTACACGCAATGGAAAGCAAATGGCTACTCCGACGGCTGGTGCACACGCCACTTCCTCCACGCCAAGGCCCTGCGGCGGGCGCGCGAAGTGCGAGACCAACTGCACGACATCATGACAGTCCAGAAGATGCCCCTGGTCAGCTGCGGCACCGACTGGGACGAGATCCGCAAATGCATCTGCTCGGGTTTCTACCACCAAGCCGCGCGCGTCAAGGGTATCGGCGAGTTCCTCAACCTCCGAACCAGCGTCAGCATGCAACTCCACCCGACCAGTGCCCTCTACGGTCTGGGATATGTCCCGGAGTACGTGGTCTACCATGAATTGATTCTCACCAGTAAGGAGTACATGTCTACCGTGACTGCTGTAGATCCACATGTAAGTCCACCAGATTCCATCACATACCCCGATACAAGTCAAGTACTAATGACATTCGGTAACAGTGGCTCGCCGAACTCGGAGGGGTCTTCTACTCCGTCAAAGAAAAGGGCTACTCTCAGCGCGAGCGCCGCATCACGGAACAAGAGTTCAACCGGCGCGTGGAGATCGAGACCCAAATGGCGGCGGACCGCGAACGCGCCGCAGCGGAGAAGCAGCGCGAAGCGGAGAGGAACGATCCGACCAGACGCAGAAAGGAGATCGAAGTGGGATCTGTGGTACGGAGGCCTGTCGCGGCGGCAAGACGTGTAGGAGGTGTGACGGCGTCGAGTAGTAGTGGTGGTAGTGCGCGCAATGGCGGAAGCGGAGGCGGAAGCGTGGTGAAGAAGCCGCAGATCAAGCGCAAACCGGGACGGGCTTTTTGATTTATACTAGTAGAATATAGGATATATTATACCCAGGGATATATGAATAGATTATTAGCTGATATCATTGCTATATGAGAGTCGATGCTGAGAGTAAACAGTAGAATCGATACATTGATACACAGGTATAAATAGTAATAGCTAGCTAACATAACGCAATAACAAATCCTCGACTTGTTTTACCTTCTCTAACCCGGATAGGAACCAGACCGGACAAGGCTACTCCACCAGGGAAACAGCGTGCATGCACCCTTCCTATCCTATCCTATCCTATCCTATCCTCACCTGTCACTTCATATCCAGCGTTCTGCTTTTCCACCCTCTTCCCATCATATCCGCTGCACACCCACACTTCAAACATAATCCATCCATACCAGACCCGATAGCATCTAGTTAATAAAGTTAATACAAAAGAAATGCAGAATCAAACTCCCAAAGACATAATCCGCGAATGCCCTACACAAAACCAAACCAGTTAGCACAATTCCAACCCTTTCTAAGTCAATAGTAATAAAGTAAAAATGTTAAACTCACCTCTCAGCCGAAATACCACTCCCTTCCTCCCCAGCATCTCCCTTGACAACCTTCTTCCCTCCCTTCCCTTTCGCACCACCAGTCGAAGAAGAAGAAGACGAAGTAGCAGCACTACTAGTCTGCATCCTCAAACTCGCCGTAAGAACAAACTGTCCTACAGCGGCACAGAAACCACTCAGGAAGGCATTGAACGGCTGTGTAAGTACCCCAAACACATTAGCCAAATTCCCACACCTAGATATTTCCCTCTCTTTTCCCCCCAAACCAACCAAAAAAGAAAAAAAGGAAGAATGTATGGGCAAACTCACATAATTCCCCCCAACGACACAATAAACAAACTGCACACCACCAACCAGCACCAAGAATCCCATGAACGCATCAAGCAGCATTGTGCGCTGCGGCGTAGTAGCCAAATACTGCTGCCAGACCGTGTGGGCGATGTCGTAAATAGAGGAGTTCTGGGTGAGGGTTTTGGGGCCGGAGGAGAGGGAGGAGGAGGATGCTGCGGGTGCGGAGGATGATGCGGAGGGCATGGTAGGTGGTGAGGGCGCGGGGACGGGGCCTGTTGTTGCTGGTGCGGCGGTGCGTTTTGGGGCCATGTTGTGTATCTGTATTTCTCTGTTTCTTTTCTATCGAGGAGAATGGGAATTGAGGTCGGGGTTGGGTTGAGGGCGAAGAAGGATTGGGAAGGGGAGGTAGGTGGAGGTATAGTTACGCAAGCTGGCCTGTCCTGGGCGGGTGGTTGTTACGCGGTGTCACGTGATGTATAGATCGGGGGTGTTGTTATTGTTCTATTAGAGAAATAATTGGCTGGATTGTTTGAATTTAAGGGGAGAATAATGATGGGGTTCTGATTAGGGATTTAATAGGATATTTTATGTTCATTTAGTGTTGCTATACTCCCTACTATGTAGGTATACAGGTAAAGTACTGCCTCGGCTGCATTGCAAGGTACATAGTACATACATAATTCATCATTAGCTTTTAGCTCATTCCTAGCTAAATTTCTCATTATCGTGAATGGAGAGGTTTTGGTAGTCGTGTAGAGAGGAGACATTCAGTACAGAGGCATCTTCATGATGCCGATAATAGCCACCAGGGCCATCAAGGTATCAACACTACTGGTATCCTCATCAAGCAAGCCAGTCCAGGGCATTGCCAAAAGGATTTTGCGTATTGGACGCTTGCAGGTCCATCTGGAAATCAGTCATCACCTGATCCCATTCTTCCCAGTTTAGATTCGCATTAGGCATCTCCTGCTGGGTCTCGCTCGGCTCCGCCGGCCTCACTAGCGTGTCTATCGACGCGCCCGAGCACTCCTGCTGTATGTTGGCAGCTGTGGCAGGGTTCAGCCAATCCGTGTCGGGGAATAGATCCTTGATCACGCTAACCGGTCCGTCGCGCAGATCGAAATCGAGTCCGCCGTTCTCGGGCACACCATGTAAGGGCTCATTCTCTTGGTTTGTTGGTGAAGCCTGGAAGTCGAGTGCTCGGGGCAGGACTGGGGGCTGTATAATAGAAATTCCAGGGCAATTCGGGGCAGTGACATCGTGAGCTGCAATCATGCCGGAACTCATCTGCGCGCGCATCTCCTCTTGCTTGGCTCGGAACGCGGTTGCTCGCTTCATCAAGCGGGAAAGCGGACGCCAGAGCATGCCTTTCCGCTGCTTGCTGTTCTTGATCCACTCGGTATATAGGGTGCTCACGCATTTCCATGCCCGGTCGGTAAGAGGACTGAGCGGGCGGACACAAAGCTCTGACAGCACAAAGGCAATGGCATGCCATTGCATGTTTGTGGCAAAGAGCCAGCTCCATTTGTACGTCTTGACGTCGCCATCCAGCAGTCGCTGGAACTCAGCCACCTCCACTGAAGTAGCAAACAAGCTCTCGCGATTTGCGTGGCTCAACGTTAAGCCCCGTTCAGGTCGGGTCATCGGATGATGAATGACAAGCCAGAGTTTGGTCAGGATGAGGCGACCAATCGTCGCGCAGACCCACTGAATCGGAATATTCATGTCACAGTGTTTTATATATCGGTCCTCAATGCGGTCGTTGATCGCCCGAATCACCTTGGAGCAGTTATCAGGGTTGAGCTGTCGGGTTGCTGAAATGAAAGGGGCGTTAGGACAAGTGTAGCTGACTCGACGCACAGCAACCGTAATGTCGCAGCGAATCAGGCAAAATGTCATTTCAGTCCAGCCTACTCTCTCTTTAGGAGGCTCCTTCATGTCCGGCGTGATGTCCTCGTCATTGATATTCAGTGGCAGTCGAGTATCGTACAATCGCTCATGAATCTGCGCATCAGATCCGTGATCCTCTGCTGCCCGGATGTCTAACAAACAGATGTGCCACCACAGTCGTCGGCGCATCTCCGTTTCATAAGGCTTCAGGCCGAAGTTGGTGCCGTCACGATGGAGACCCAGCCCTTGCGCAAGGCGAAGAACAAGCGCTGTCATTGACCAGACAAATTTGGTGTCATCTTCTCGACGAATGCCTATCAAGAATATGACCACAGCCTGTAAGAGAGTGATATTTTGAGTATTCAAGAGATCCGCTTTGGAAAGCGCCTGCTCGACTGCGAACCGGTATCGCTTGACAAGCACATCCCTCTCTTCTCCCAGGTGAACTGAACACTGGCTGGGCGACATGCTGATAACCGCGACCATGCACATTGCAAGGAATAGCGCCTCAAAATTCTTATCCAAGCTGTTTGGATCTTGGGAAGCTGTAGTGAATAGCTGCCTGGCGCTTGCTTTATGAACGATTGGTATCAAGGGCGCCACATTTTCCAACCAGGTATTCCATAAGAAGGGAATCTGGGATCTCGGCGGTAGGAAATCGTGTAGTGAGTGTGAAACGGAGTAGAACCCGAATAAAAACCCATCATGGTTGTCCGAATGGCTTGACGATGTCTCAGGAGACGGATAGTCTTCCTCGTCCGAAGACGACGGATCTAGAATATCTTGCAGCTCCTCGATCTATCGACATTAGCATCAATACAAGATAAGAAGAAAACAGGAATAATCACCTCATCTCCGAGACTCGCCCAGAATCGATTGCTAACATAACGGCTTCGACCCTCGTCGATAACCAATCGACCAAACTCATGCTCAATATTCCGCGGCGCTACCGGCCTAGTAGGATCCAGCTTGGCTGCATCCATAAGAAGCGGGCAGCCATCACCATCACCCTCAGGCACCGAGGCCTGCGCATTGGCCGGGGGTGCGGGTGGATTTTGAGGATGCTGTTGTACCTGCGGGGAAGGCGTATCAGGAGATGACACCGCAGCACCGGTCGCTTTCTTTTCGCTGAGATGCTCAATGACGCCCTCGAGGCGCCTTAAGCGAGACAGGAGCTCCGCATCTTGTGGTCGTTTAACTTTGCGCGGTGCCCTTCCTGGTGGGGGAAAGATACACTGGATGCCGGCCTTGGCGCAGTTGGAGCAAGGGGTTTTCTTGTTGCAGCGAACTTTTCTCCGACGGCAAGTGATGCAGCTGCGCAAGCTGTGGTCCTGTGTGGAATGGGAAGGGATGCCGTGGGTGTCGTGGCTGCTATGCGGGCCAGGCACAACGTCAGACCCGTTCCTGGGCGAGAGGGACGATGGGGCTGAGAGTGAGATCATAGACGAAGTGGACATGGCGTGGAACTGTTGCTGATAATGACAGGAGCCCCACCAAACCTCATCCTCACGCAAGGAGAATGTGTAGCAGGAGACGATTGATGGACATGGAAAACAGAAACAGAGCGGTTGTGAAGAGCAGAGTGAGAAATAAAGGATTTGACTTCAACAATAATGGTTAGATGAATTATCAACTTGTCGCGCCTGACTTGGTTCTTCAGTCATCGACTCATACTTTAGTGGAACCCCGGGATGGATGGTCTCTCGCTATTGGCTACACCCGGCCTGATCTGGACCCGTCGCTTTTTGGTTAAGCGATCTGTGATTGGTCATGTCTAGCCCTGCTTTACTAATCCCATCTGACAATCACGTGGATGGGGAGGTGTAGGGCAAGAATTACAGTAGTTGCCAAGGATAAAGAAGGATAAGATGGAGACGGCGCCATTCTCGGACTTTGTTGGCTGCGGGATTTGGGGCGATCATGCAGTGTCAGTGTACAGACACACGTCACTGACGAGGTGCCGCCAATCCAGATGGTCAGGGCTGCTGATTGTCACCACCGGAGACCACACACAGGACTCTGTAGTTATCAGATCAACCTCGGAGTTAACCCCCAAAGTCCGCCAAGTCAACACGCTTCTATTTCCCGACGCCCAAGCTTTTTCCGATTGTACTTATTTCAAACTGCACCAGTCTACTTGACAATCCGCGGATGATCTGCGGGTGGTCTGCGAAGGAGGTTGTGGTCCAGCCTAACTTGGTATCTATCTGCAGGATGTTTCTTTAGAAGGAACAATCAGTCCCTCTCATACATTCGAGTGCATTATACAACTTTTAATGACAGATGCTCATGTCTGATCATCTCTTGTTCGTCAATAGGAGATCGTTGTAGTAGTGCCCAAGCTTGAGAGTCGGCTGCTGACAATAGTGTAGAGCCAAGACGAAAACAGCAAGGATGTCACAAGAGTAAATTCTATTTCGATCGCAGACACCACTATAATGTAGTTGAGACACACCTTCACTATATACATTCACACCATTGTGTAGTACTACTAGGTAGTAAGTTAAATTATATAGTATGTTCACAGAAGCCACACAACGGGCTTTGATGCCCAGCAGCCCATTTAACTATGGGCGACCACATTTTCAAACGGTATTCCATGATGTCCCATGTCCCAGAGCAAACAAACAAGATCCAGTGTATATATAGAAACATTCCCAAACGCCATATATAGCCAACATGCGGAATTGGTAGCGCACCGAAGGCAAACGCCGTATATGCAAATAAAGTCGAAGGTCTAGGTGCTGGGCCACTTCAAATCGTTATCGTCATACACAAGCCCAACGTGATACAAGCGCATCAAGGGAGCTCGGTCGATATCATACAGTCGCACAGTCAACCCCTGAACAGGCGCCCGAGGGGCGTGGTCCGAACGGGAATGTCGGTCTCCCGTCGCCCAAAGTGCCTCTTCCGGCTAAATCAAACATGTAAGCAAGAATCGCGAATGGCTCGGGCGCATCAAACCTACCTCATTTTATCCCATACTTGAGTCTGTTGGTTGAAATGGTATCTGTGCCACGCATTAGTGAGAGCGAAGAGATTGACAATAAAAAAAAGCATACCCTTGGAACACGGAAGCAGTCATCGACTTCGACCCATATTCTTTCTTTAGTAGACGAACGTATTCGAACGGGATCTTGACCGGAACATCTTCGAAGTAACTGTTCCGCAGTGGGAAGATCTCAGTTTCCTAACCCCAGGTCAGCCACATTGTTGTGTCACCAGTTCACAAGCCACCCACATCAAACCGATGGCCGTCCTTGCACATCAACGCCCCAGGCTCGCGATCATTCTTCCTCCGCTCGTCGTCCTTGCGTACCGCCGTAATATCGATAAACAGCCCAGACGATGTGTCTATCCACCGCGCATCGATTACGTTAAGCTTGTCATCGGTCGATCGGACGACATAGTTCGGGTTGATCTCCAGCAAATAGGTTCGGCCGCCGTCAACGCCTGAAATCTCGAAGTGGTGCTCGGTCATGTTGTAGTAATCCGCAAGGAAATGGATGGTCGGCTCGGAAATTTGAACGTCGAGATCGTTGTCCCACGGAAAGATCTATCCATCCATTAGCAGGTGGCGCATCGTAAACACCCATGGTTTGTGTCACACCTTCTGGTTCCACCACCAAGCCAGCAGAGTTCCATGCATTATCCAGGTTTCAGCCCCAAGGTCTGCCATTGTCGAGAGATAGGTCCGGATGAGTTCCGACAGATGCGGAACAGTCTCCGCCTCGGAGAGAGGTTTATCTGCGAAGCTATCAAGGGGATCAGCAATCGTGAAAATGAACTAGTGGTGGACCAGACATACCGTCCATCATAGTGGTAGTGGAAGCTAGTTCAGATTGGAGTTAGTCAAAAACAACAAAAGAAATCACCGCCCGAGTATATCCTATGGCATACCTAGATTCCTCTGTAACTTGTTAGACAAAGCCGATAACAACCGCAGCACTTGGCCAGACTTACTGAAGTATTTCTCTCCCGGTTCTCCCCCTTTTCCGGAGTAATCCTTGACCATATCAGGTCGCACACTCATGAAATCGACATCGGCGCTTGCCGATCCAACAGCACATAATAACCCATAGAGGCCGAGAATCAAACGGGGCGTCGAAGACCACATAGTGGTGGGAAACGATAGACGATACTTGTTCTTTCAATGTTGAGAGACCGTAAAGCGCATGCTCTTATCCGAGGTTGCACGATGCCGTAGATAAGACGGGGAATGTCCGCGCTGCCAATAAAACCGGAATGGGCGGGATTTGTTGTAGGGGCCGAAGGGGCCAAAGGGGGAACGGACGAAGACAAGTTGGAGGGGCCACCCAGTTCGAGAAGAGAGGGAGACAAGATGTATGTATGTATGTGTGTGGAGGAGTCAGAATGAAAGAGAAAGGGAGAAGAAGATTGAACAAGAAACAAGAAACGAGAGTATAATTATTCAGTGGAGAGCGACGTAATCAGTGCGGCGCACAAGAGGGAGTAATGTGAATAGTCGTCAATAAATTAGATTTGAGTGCAAATGGGGGGCGCCTAGAAAAAAAAACCACGAATCGCCAGGGCGATCGGCAGGGAAGAGACGTATAAAAAGAATAAAAGGAATCGCCGCCAAACCGGCGTGCTACTTTACTGTGTACTGTTACGGGGGGCCCGGTCGCGTGCTCAGTTACCGTCCAGCCCAAAGAGTGGCAAGGAACTTTGGAAACAACTTGAACAGCCTTGCCAGTCTTGGCAATGGGCTTACTGGGCGTACCGTGCCGATCCGACTGGAACGCCTGGAAGAATCTGCCACGCTCTGTGCTGTCTGACTCGTTGGTGTCAGCGATTTCATCGGTTTCCTTGGGTGTCCAACCTACGGATGCACCCTGGTCGGTTCACACAAATCGTCATGTAAAGACCCTTTTTGGACGAGATCAATAATACATCAATACAACAATACACCAGTCCACCAGGACATCTCGGGTTTGATCTCTCCGACTGGACTAGTAGCACTACATTAATAGTCGACTGCTACCAACCACCGACACTAGAAATCCGCTAGACGCCCGTCTTAGTACCTTGCGTGCGTAGTCTCAGGCCAATAGCATGACGAATCTCACACGGCCTGTTCCGAATGACTTGGTCCGATGGCGTTTACCTTTGTCCTGGGTTCGCCAGTTTATAATGCTAAAATGCGTGCAAAGTGGCCCTAAACACTGGGGCCGCGTCATAGTCTGATAGCGGCATTTATCCCCCTCTCCGCCAGAGTCCAATGCCTTCCTTGAATTACCCGCTCTGCATCCATTTGGTCTCTAGTTTCAGGTGACAGTTGTCCTTCCTGCTGCTGTCATCACCCCTAGCTCGGATGACGAGAATGGGTTTTAATCACTGTTCCGGTCGGTCAAGCTTTTCCCCCAAAGCCCCCTCACCAATGTGACGGGGTGACGGGGTGACGGGGTGACGGTTTTGTGTTGCACGCAGTAGTTAATTGTAAGGGTAGGGAGGAGTCTGCAGTGTTAAAAGTGGGGAACCCTCCGCTGCATCGAACAGAACGTTGGCTTTAGAATTTACGGCGATCGTCATTCATCATGCTATTCTTGCTCTCCGCTGTTCCTGCCAGTCTTTTCCTTTATTGTGCCCTCACACATAAATAGAAGCCACAGCCATAGCTTGCCGTCTCGGGCGCTGACCAAGGACCACATTGTCTCAGCATCGACTATAGAAATTTAGTAAGACTAGCGAAAATTCTTTGGAATGAACCGACTGAGATCTCTGACAAGATCCTCTGCTCAAAACAATGTGGTATCGGGTCTCCTTGATCGTCAGCAAACCTTATGCACATTCTCTGTTTTAGAAAGCGAGTCATGTACACGAGACAAGAAATAGGATGCATAACAATAAGCAACATCTTAGTACTTACCAAACATGCCTTATCACTGCACAAAAGGTAGTATCGCATGTCGGGGAGGCGGGTTTAGGCTGCCGAGACATGCTGCTCAACTTTAGGGACCATGACACGCAGTCGATCCTGAGGACGTTGCTTGTACAGAGTCTGTAGAGCCTAAACCCAAAAATATTTCCGGATTACTTGAGCTGTGCTCAACCGAGTTATGACCGGCCTGCACGCAGTGTCAGCTTTAGAAATGAGGCCATACAAAGGGGTCGAAGGCTCGTAAGCACTGAACTACTATGGAAAGCTCACTCAGCGCGGACTGAAAAGCTGCGTATAAGCGTAAAACGTATCATTGATTGCTTGGTGTTCCAAGATACCACTACTGCTTTGGATGGTTGATGCTTGAGCTCACTGCTCTCCTGCCGACAGCTTGCCGGTAGGCGATCATTCTCGACATGTGATTATGTAAATTATCACAATTACAAACTTGTCAGGTGGTAGTGGAAGATAACACCGGCGAAACAAGACCGTGAGGTGGATTGAAGGATATTGACCGTAACTTGCATACGTCCATTGGCTTGGGATCTATCCAAAGTTAGTAGGAGACAAGCAGCTATCTAGGTATAGAAGCTGACGCATGATGAACAGTAAACACGAGCCTCCACTAAAGAATCAAGGATATTCACGGGCCCTTATAGATTACCACATCGGGCCAAGTGGTGCCTTGCGGCGCTCGATACCGCCGAATGTGGCTGCCTGATTGGTCGGGATGTGGAGGAAGTCTGCCGGCGCATCGGGGAAATCGGTTCCGATGATTCGTCAGGTTTGGGATGTCTTCCTTTTCTATCTTTGACTTCGGGGTTATCGCTGCTAATTTGGGGGGCTAATAGTACTAATCAAGTATCGTCTACGGGGTGCACCAAGCACTAGGCTGCCTCTCTCTCTACATCGAGACTTTTCTCCTGCCGCCTGAGAACTTTGCTCTACTGGAGACAGTCATGAGCGGTATAGAGAGTCTCGAGCCCGTTCAACGGCATACTTCCACTCCATGTCCAGCAACGCACTGGGACTGAGATTAATTCATTATCAGGGATATAGGACTGTAGCTTACATGCGGTAAGCACTCACTGGGCACTAATTAATCTTTGGATCTTCCCGACTACTGTGCACCCAAGATGGGAGACTAACTGTACCATAGTTCCAACTTGATCTAATCTCTCCACTTTGGCCTTCCGCTCGCCAAAGAGAACAGGGGACTAAATTGCACTAGCCTTAGACTTCTTTCCTACAGGCCAAACCCCTCTTAGCAATGGCACCATCTTGGCCCTTAAAAGCACCGAAAAAGGCTCTTTAGCCTTTCCCCCCCTTTGTGGCTGGATTCTCACATGACTGAGGCTTGTATGCGTCCCACTGCTTCAGCTGGATTCTGCTGCTGCACCAACTCCGACTACTTGCGGCACCGGGTACATGGCGAGTTCTGCAGTTTTCCCTGCCGGCGGGCGTCCAATTGGATGTCTTCTTCCTAGATTCGACTTTTGATAGACTTGTCGAATTCGTTTCCATTCTCGCGATATCCTCCACGTTATCACTTCTGAAGCCCTCTTAAACCTGGTTTGTCAGACAGGAATCGACGATGTTAATATCCATCTTTCACATCTACAATTGATTACCTGCGGCTTCCTGGAGACGAATCATAAGGACCAGCAATATCGCCTAGTCAGCCTCAACAGACGCTGTGCACAGTTAATCTGGATCTAGTTACTATCTTTCGACCCTTGCGTCTATCGTCGATCACCAGTGGCCCGGATACTACGCCTTGTTGCAAGGTGTGGGGGCCAAAATGTCGAAAATACCCACAAATCCTCCAGGCGATTCAAATGCGATACCCCAGGCAGCGACCGCGCAACAATTGAACCGATCATGCGAATCGTGTCGAGGACTGAAAGTCCGTTGCTTACCCGATCCTTCGACGCCCAACCAATGCCAACGATGTGTGAAAGCCAACAGACCCTGTATCTTCGTGGCGCCCCAGAGGCGGCGACCACGCAAGCGGACTGACTCGCGGGTCGCTCAGCTGGAGAGAGAGATGCGACAGATGCGCTCTCTGCTCAAGGATAGGTTACGTGTGGATGAAAGCAGTGCCGAAAGCGTCGGCAGCGAAAGAGAGGACTCTCGGGAACCCGACCTGGGGCCGAACATCAATGATTCGATGCCCGCAGGTTCAGATCCTCCAAGCAGCGCATCGGGATCGGCTAGACCCATGGACTTTTCACCTAGCTTCCCTTCAAACTCTCCATATCCCAATACCTTCGACGGCGGTGCCACTCCCGGCTTAGCTTCCAATCCTGTATCGTCGGGCTATTCACTTGAAGCAACTCTAGAAAGGGATGTCGTCGGTCAAGGCTTGATATCACTGGAATACGCCAACGAATTAGTCGCCTTCTTTATCACTGAGCTCACAGCCTTTGCTCCAATCGTCGTACTGCCCCCAGATACAACTGCTTACCAACTGCGTTGCTCGAAGCCGGTGCTGTTCCTCTCAGTCATTGCCGCAGCAGCTGTCTCGTTGGATGCCAACCTGGCCGCTGCTCTCAACCGTGAGATGATCCGAGTGTATGCCGAACGCTTCTTCATTAATGGCGACAAGTCCTTGGAATTAGTCCAGGCATTGTTGCTCATGATTGTCTTCTACTTCCCGCCCGACTCTCCTCTGAAACTGCAATTCTATCAGTATACTCATATAGCGGCCACGATGGCCCTGGAGATCGGCTTGGCTTCAAAACGACGAGTGCCCCAAAGCTCCAGTCGCAGAACGAATAAAAAGACAGCATATGATGAGCCAATGGCAGAACAAGCGAGAGCCATCTTGTTCTGCTACCATTTGACATCCATGTAAGCTTCAATGCGGTTCCTGTTGAGATTGACCTGCTAATGGAGAACAGTGTCGCTATGAAAACACGCCGGCCGAATTTGCTTCTCTTCAACGACTGGATGAGCGAGTGTGTGAAGCATTTGGAGCGCTCGCCAAATGCAGTCGATAGACACATGGCCACTTGGTTTGAGCTTCAGCGAGTAGTCGATGAGGCGATGACATCCTTTGGGCTTGACGACACGAGTTCGACTGCCCCGCTCACCGAGTCGCGGCTGCAAGCCGTCCTGAGATGGTTTGACAACCGGATGCAGACATGGAAGAAAGATCTATCCATGGAGATGCACACAGGTAAACTGTTCCCAAAACGGTTGATGTGGGCACG